TTGCCTCACAGTAAGAAGGTCACCGGTTCATGTCCCGGTGAGGACACCAAGGATCTTTCTGCATGGAGTTTGCATGTTCTCTCCATGCAGCGTGGGTTTTCTTCGGGTCTCTTCCTCCCACACAGTCCAAAAACATGTTGAGGTTAATTGGTGATTCTAAATTGTTATTACTAATGTTGTGCTGGTGTTGTGTTGTTGCTAGTATTTCCCTGAGGTACCCTACCAAAGGGATCAATAAAGTTCTATCTAATCTAATCTAATCTGATGCAGCGCTGCAACAGGTGAGCGACTGCCTGTGAGCTCTCCATGGTGCTGAACCGGCTGCTGAGATGAAATGGTCAGATGGTCAGACTTGGAAAGCTGCTTGGAGATTGTTGCTATAGTTTCCCGTAGCAAGGTGTATTTTAAGAAACGGTAATACGTAGATGGCGGAAGGGAAGAAGAAAGCCGACTGAAATGACAGCTGATACCTGCAGCCTACATTTGGTGACTCAGACTACTCGCAGGCTAACTCTGAGCAAAGACATTGCCATAGTATCGGTCAGTGATGGTAAGCAATGACAAAAGAAGAACATGAACACTGCTGGAGGAGTATTCAGATCAGAGTAAAGTTCTATGTAAATGTTGTTGTGACTCAAACAGATGCAGTAAAAATAAATCTCAAACTTTCAAAAACTACCATTAAGTCATGAACAAGATACTCCTTACTACGTTTCAAAGTTGTGAGGACGACGTCATATGGTGCACCATTTGCTTTCCTTTGGCTGGGAGTGACTTCTACAGACACATTTAAAAGATCCTTTTGATATAAACCCCTGTATCTTCATCTTCACAATACATAAAGCATAAACCTTCTTTCACTTCTGCACAGTAGAGCATTGTAAGAAAAAAAAAATGCAGCATGCAGACACCCTGACATTTGCCTCTACCTTTTACTGAATGAATGTGTGGATCCAGCTGCACACAGTTTCTACCCGCAGCCTCGCTCGTCTGACACGGCCAGAGCAGCCCATCCATCTTCATCTCTCCCAATGGATGAGAACCAGGGAGGAGGTGCGCAGATGAGAGCTTTTCTCCCCCACCTGCCTCCACCACCTTTCTCTTCACCTCACCAAGGGTGGCTTTGAAGGTAGACGCTCTCGCTCAGTCTGCAACATAATGCAAGTCCTGGTAGACAACCGTTTGAAAAATCAACCTCACAAAGTGCTTGTGCAGCTCCCCGGCGCCGCGCTCTTTAGATGTTGTCTGCTTTTTTGCGGCTGGGGAATCGGCATTTGACTAATGTTTCATGTAAGAAGAATGACGAGCGCACGCCGGCGTAGATGAAAAATCTACAATATGTGTGAAATTAGCGGCTGACACGAGTGTTTGCAGTTGTCTCCTGCTCCCAAGATTTCAAGAGCACACAGTTCTCTCATGTGGAGCAGTGCATTAAGATGGTGGTGCTTCAAAGTGAAGGACACTCATGGAGCAAATTGATTCTAGAGGACAGTGCACGCAGCTTTCCAATAAGGACTTCTCCAACTAGCGAAAGTGAGCATTTGCCAGGAAAGATGTGCTTTTTTTTTTTTTAAAGAACAAAAAAGTGTTTAGTAGATATTTCACCACAGTTCATGATGATGTATTTGAGGGGAGATTTTTTTTTAGATATATTATTTTGTTTTATTTTTTAAGGCCATGTACAGAAGAGCAATTATCCATTCAGGGTTTCCACTTCAACCCTTTCATGACTGATTGTTGCTTTGCTGCAGTTGCCATGCACTTTGGGGACATGGCAACAGGCCTGAGCACATTCAGCTGCTGCATGTAACAGAAACAGTGGGTTCATAATCTCCTTGTCTTGCCGCAACCGTGAGCAAATGGATTCTACAAATCGCGCTAATGCTTCATCATACACGCTCGCACAAATGCTAATGGAGCCAGGGCGCTTCCCAGCCAGAGTGTCAGTTTAATACGATCCTGCGTTCAGCTGAATTTATATTTAAAGCATGATACTAATGCTCTGGTGGCCTGTGCACGTTCTCCTTGTGTGTTCTAATGTGTGATCTCATTATATCATGCGTATGAGGGGTTTTGAATATTGTATCACTTGGGAAGCAGTAACTTCTTTCAGAGGAGGAAATGTGGGAGTTGTGGTGATGTTTTTCATATTGACCCTCTGATAAACTTTCCCTTAAAAACAGAGACATGGAAAGCTCTAAAGAAGGAGTGTCACCACTTTCAAGATATTTAGAAATACTGCAGAAATTAGGGCATATTTTATGAGTTTTAAAAGTTCTTTCCCTCTTAGGTTGCTTTAAGATTTGGAAAATAATACTTTACACGAGAGTCTCACAGTCCCACATCTATGTTGTGTGCTCGCTCTCAGCTTGTTACAACAGTTTTTCAAGTTTCTTCTAATTACCAAACTGTTAAAAATATGAAGGATTTATAACATTTTTACAGTCAGGAACAAAAGTTTACATGCACTTGTAAAGATCCTGTATAATATGGGATTCTTAAGTTTCTAATGACTCTTTGAATGGAATCATCTTCATCACAAAAACAACATTGTGGCTCTTTCACTGATTTATCATAGGTGTTATGGAAATATGATGAAATCTGCTGGGTCGAAAATATGCATACAGAAACTTGAATTATCAGTTTTTGTGATTTGGAAAGCTGTATTATTGAAATAGTAGTGGCATGGCCTCCTAACTTTTTGCGAATGTTTACATTTGACCACAGCTGCTGACTCCCCTGAACCAAATCAAACAGGGCCTATTTGATGCCCTCATTAGATTCAGCCCCAAACACTACAGTGAGAAAATCTAAGGAGCTCAACAAAGCTAATTAATGATTTGAACAAGTCAGGAAAGTAACTTGGAGCAATTTCAAAACAACCACAGATCACAAAATCATCTATGCAAACAACTGTTTGTATGTATAAAGTGCATGGCACTGAAGAAAACACAAGCCATCACCTGCTGCTGAGAGACAACTGATCAGGATGGTCAAGAGTGAACCAAGAATCACCAAAAACCTGGTCTGCAATGACTTGGAAGCTGCTGAAACATAAGTGTCAGTGTATACAGTTAAATGTGTTTTACATTACCATGGGCTGGGAGGCAAGAAGGAAGCCCTTGTTCCAGAAACAACATCTTAAGGCTTGATCTAAGTTTGCTGCAGATCACATGGACAAAGAAAGAGATTTCTGGATGAAGGTTCTGGTCAGATGAAACAAAAATTAAGCTATTTGTCCACAATGACCCGGACTTTAACTCCAAGAACATCAAACCTAATGTACATGGTGGCGGCAGTATTATGCTCAAGGGCCAATAGAACTTGTGTTTAAAACAAAATGTATGGGATAAAGAACAAAGAGGATTATCAGGATTATCTTTAGGAAAACCAAAAATGATCAGCCAGAAGGTTTAGTCTTGGACCCGGTTGAGTGTTCCAACAAGACAATGACCCAAAGTCAACAAATTTAATTTAACCGCACCAATTCTGTCAAGACCAGTGGTCAAAGACACAACCAGAAGCTTGTAAACAGGTATCAGCATTTATACAAATATGAGCATTTCTGACCCAGCAGATTTTGTTTTAAAATTATTCTATGAAAGTACCAAAGAGCGTGTTTTTGTTTTGTTTGTGTGACAAAGACGCATGGGTTTTAATGATTCCATCATGGAAAAGTCAGAGTCATTGGAAACTCAGGACTGCCGTGGTACACGTGGTCTTTACAGGTCTATGTAAACTTTTGTTTACGGCAGTAAGTGTAACTGCTTCATCAACTGACTGCTGTTTCACAGTTGTTCTGTTTTGTTGAACAAGTAATAACTATTACAATCACTCAACAACAAAAAAAAGTAGTAATTTACTCGCTAACTATAAAACAGAATGAATTGTGGACAATAATAACACTTCTGGCCTGTTTCACAACCGATTTCTCGAATGTTTTTACTGGTATTTTATGGCACCTTCACCTTTAACATCATACTAAAGAGATTTTATTATGTTAAATTAGAGAACTTTTAATACAAGTTCTAATATTTTTGTAAGGTGTTTTTCTGTTTGTCTGTTTCCTTGCTTTATATGCCTGTCATTTAACGGTTTTTGGCATTGCATAAGGAATATTTTTAGGTTTAAAGTTTTAGTTTCTATTAAATTATAATCAGCAAATTAGTAGGATGAAAAAAACACAGCTATATTAAAGCAATTGAGGTATCTAGTAAGCATCTTTTTCCTCCCTTGCTGACAGATGTGACTTTTTTTTTTTTACAGCGCAGAGTAAAGTGTTCAAACCAGGACTCTTGCTTTAATGGCTTTAAAACATCAAATGGAAATATTTGGGGGGGTTCATCGCTGTATTTCCTCATGATCCAGACACACTTATTTGGTATGTTTGGGAACTTGAGGATCTAGAATTTAAAAAATAGCAGCAGTTTGAACAGCAGGACTCTGTGCCACCAATGAGGAGTAAATAAAAGTCTTTAGAAACTGTAGGACAAGACTTAACCAGTCCTCTTCCTGAACCTTCATGATTAAAATGTAGAAATCTGAGAAAGCAAAGGAGGTATTTACTTTACCAGATGATACAGCTTCTGTTCCTACTACAAATAAGAAGTCAATATTCAGCACACTGGTATATTGTCCTCCAGGTTTGTGCGTAAAGGCTCAGAGGAGAGATTTCTTTTTTTTTTTTTTTTCCCAGCAGTAATGCCATGTACCACCCCCACCACCACCACCACCTCCTCCACCCCTCGTCGCCCCCCATGCCCCCGCCGCCCTCCTCCTGCCTTTGTTCTCATCACAACAAGCCCCGGAGCAGATGGTGCTCTGCTTTGCTTTGGCCGGCGGTGACAGACAGGCGCGCTCAGCCAATAGCCTGCTGGGGAATCAGCTGACCGGTCTGGACAGCGCCAGGTGTTTTTATCATTTTTCTTCTCCATCCGTAGGAGGAGGAGGAGGAGGAGGAGCAGGCAGGCAGGCAGGCAGGCGGTGGTATAGTGGCAGAGCGGAGGAATATCGGGGGGCGACACAAACCGGTCGGTGGTGGGTTGCAGCAGGTTGGAGATCTCTCTGCAGACCGCACCATGCCTCTCTCCGCTCCCGGGCGCCCTGGGACTGATCGGATACGCAAATCGTTGTAAACAAAGCCACTAGGATCCAGGAATATGTGCTATCACTGCTGTTTGGTGATGCCTCTGTAGCGTTTCCTTTTTTTTTTTTTTTAATTTATTGTTGTGTATTGACGCGTTTCTGAATGAAGGACCTGTGCGCTGTGGGAACATCGGACCGGAATGCCAACAAGGTGAGAAGGAGGAGAAAATGCTGCTGTTAGTTTCTTCTTAGAGACAAATCAAGATAAACACAACTGGCAGTGGGGTTGTTTTTCTGTGCTGAATGGTGCAAATATGTTCCCATTCATAACACATTTCCCTGCAAGGGCAATGAGTTGAGGTATATTTAGGATGCAGGCACACTCAAGGGCATTTTTTCCCTCCTCATATATATGCATTTATATCTGTACATGCAGTCTGTTAAAGCCCATCAGCTCAGGCTTCAGCAGTGTGATTTAAATCCACATCAGCACATTTAACCTTACAGTGTCTCTATCCAGCCTTTATAATTCGTCAAAATGATATTCCACAGAAAACAAACTTTGATCTCGTTGCGGCACTTGCCGTGCCAGCGGGAGCTGCGTGCGCGCCGCTGCTGTGGACGTGATTTGCATATTAATGTTAAAGTATGTCGGCAGATGTCTCGATTCCTCCGCTCTGAGCGAGGAAGAAAAAAAAAAAAAAAAAGTCGCTGAGTCTTCTTCAGGGGGATAAAGACAGGGCCGTCTGCGTAAGATGCTGGGCTGAGAATGGGGTTGCGTTAGCAGGGGGTCTATTGTGGTCCGCAAACGCTGCTTCTGTCGCTGCAGCTGTTGCGCTTTTGTGATGGAGACTGCTGCTGACTTGCATCACTCAACTTTAGGGGACTGCACTGTAGAGAGGGTTTTGTTTTTTTTAATGTTTCTGCCCGCAGGACTCTGTTTATGGCTTCTTTTGAGAGAGAGAGCAAAGTGCTGACAGTCATGTTTCCTGATGTGGAGTCAAGTTGAAGTCAGCAACTTAACACAGTAATGACACACTGAGAGTGAAGCCTGCTCACTAAAAAGCTTAGTCTCCCAGAGTATAATTGCCTCTTGCATTATATATTGGGGGTAAAGATTTTCTCCAGGCTGGACATCTCAGTCTTGCAAACTTGTTTGTTTTCTTTTCTCAAAACTTGATGAAGCCGGATCACCTGATGGATCTTGGGGGCACACAGACCCACACAGATGTCACGGTTTCTATCTTGTGTTTTTACTCGAGTGTGACAAAGGCCTCCTAATGGGGTGCAAGTGTGTGTTGCAGGTGTCTTTGTGCGTAGGCGGGGTTGTTGGGAGACAGCAGAGCTGAATGGGAGGGGGGTATAAGGCTCCAACCCCCTCATCCACCCACCTCACCACCAACACTCAGGTCCCGAGGGTATAAAGCAGGGCGAAGAGGAGGAGGAGGAGGTAGAGGGGGGGAGCTGTGTTACTCGGCTAAAGCCTCAACCATTATTCCTGTAAGAAGGGCTGAGGCGTTAAAGCCTTTGTCTTCTGAGGGCTGCACAGACACCTCAGGACAGAAATCAGGGCCAGGACAGCGTGGTGGGGAGGATTAGTCCCGCACCGTTATGGCGTTTTCATGGCATGGAAGTGCACATGAAGGAAGAAAGGAAGTACTGTGGAGCTCAGGCCGACACACCTGTGCTGCACTTTAAACTCTGGGGAACACATGCGGTTGTGTGTGTGAAGCGCAGGCCTCCCCCTGGTGTTTGGTCCTCCGGAGTCCTTTCCACCGAGTCAGGTGTCGGGAAACAAAGAGCGATCAAACTGCAGCTGCAGCCTCAGCAGATGTTCGCTTTGCATATACAAGAATATTCTAAAAATATCAATTTAGTCATGTTAATGATGTCAGAAGATCAGCAGTTAACTCATAAATGTCAGAGCTGCAGCTTGAATAGTCGACTGTGCAGATTGGAAACCTAATTAAGGCTGGATGGAGGCAAGGAGGAGTTGAAACCAGCAGGCTGCAACTCCATAAAGCTCATTGTTCCAAAAATTAGTGGCTTTGTTAAAGTGCATCTGCTAAATGAATTTCAGTGCATTTATACGAAGCTGTGCTTTAAGGACTCCATGAAGTTAAGGGATTCCTGTGTTACAGAGATTTGAAAGAGAACAGAGAAAAGCAGCAGAAGCAGACAACTAACTTGACGTTAAATCTGGTAAAAACCAAGCACCAAAACAACCGGATCCTGCATTTCCCACAATGCAACTTGATAGCATTGACACCTGTGCTGCCCGATGATATCATCAAGGTTATTTTGGTTGAAAAGCTTCCTCCAGAGCCGCAGAAGACATTACTCAGCAGTTTTCACAACCGGATGTGTAAACTGAACTTTATGTGTAAAACCCTTAAATGAAAGCACGGTTCAGCCCTTTTTTTTGTCTGTATTTATGAATATTAACATCTAATCATGAATTTTTGAACCAATATATTCCATGTATTTTCACATATATGCAAGTTTGATGAAAACTGACATTTTAAGTATCAGAAAGTGTTAATTATGGCTGCAGCTAATGACTACAGGGGACCAGCAGGAATTGCAAAGCATTTAAAAAAAAAAAAAAGCCTGAATTGGTGTTAAGAGGTTCAAAATTTTATTAACTGAAGTCTTGAGTATATTTCCTTGCTGACTGTTAAACTGTATGTGGCTGTGGCTGCCAGGAGACATGCTGCACCTCTAAACTGAGGCCAGGGTTAGACTTTTGGCATCCACGAGCATCCGTCCGAATCCACAGGACGGGAATTTTGTCATCCACACGCCTGAGAAATGCCCAGAATTTGTGTCCACTCGGAGAGTCAGCGTGAGGACAAGGTTACTTTTGCCCTTGTAGGGTAGTCGCCATGCAGACACAGATTTTGGGTTACATGTGGACATGTGAGGAGTCTGCAATGGGGAGAAATGATGACATTTATCACACAGACACTTGCAGACCCGTCATGCACTTATCAGGCTTAATAGCAGCAACTACATGTCCATGGTGTCTGCAGTTGTCTGTGTTTGCTTCTGCAAGAAGTATAATCCAGGATTTAAAGATCTTTTCTGTTTTGAGGAGTTTCAGTCAGAACCATTGGACCTGCAGCAAACACTGTCATTACTGCTGCTGCAGGAGCTGCAGGACGCTCCTGCACTTATGTGTTCATCAGTTGTAGCAAAATCCTCAATAAGTTGTTATAACTTGATTCCGTTGAATGATTATCTGTTATGTGATTAGTTCTGATCAGTCAGATTTAAAGGTACATACAGCTCTGAAGTGTAAACAAAAATGAAATATATTAAAATGATGGTTTTCTGCAATTCTACAGCTGACATGACTGGGAAAGGTATTAAATGTTATCTGGTGTACAAGAAAAAAACATAGTTTGGTCAACAATGTATTTTTTAAATATAGTTTTTTGCCTATTAATTTGTCGATCACATATTTCGATTACAAATTTTACAAAATAGGTTTTAAACAAGAAAGAGAGAAAAGACAGCTGCTTATAATTCCATGCAGTTCAAGGAGACGTTGCAAAATGTCTCATTGTGACCAATCAACAGTCTGTTTGTATACAGCTACTTTTAAATTTAATAAACTATAATTGTATATTGACCCATAAATCACCTTGTTAGAGATCGTTGCTGATTAATTTTCCATCAGAGAGCCAATAACTACACTGAGCTTTAGTGAGAGTCTGTTTTTGAGTGATATCAAGTTCAGTTTCTACGCTGACAACGCCGTCTGCTCCTCTTATAAACACCACCAAGACAGCTGTATAATTCAGCGTCCCGCAAATCTAATCCTTGCGGAGAGGCTCGAGTGTCCGCGGAAATCTTACACTTTCCGGCTGAAGGTGAAACTATTTTAAGAAGTGCAGAAGAAGTGTAGCTGCTGTAAAAATCAATAATTGCTGATGACGAAGTGGCCCAGACGTCTCCAGCCAGGGAAGACCTGGAGTGAGTCATCCCATGTGAAACACTGCCGCTTGCTCACTGGTTCACAAATGGAAGGAATCCAGTAAAGCTTGTGAAGTGGTGATGTAAACGGGAGAATATGTGTTGTGAAGCATAATTAGTAAACATATGTCGTGTCCTTATGTCAGAGGAAGCTGTTGATGTTACAGCATATTCATTCACGCATATCTCTGTATGAAAGACTTCTATGTAGTTTATTAATGTTATGCTTGTAGCCTATATTGGGAACACAGAAGGATAAACTTCCCTCATCGTTCTAGTAAAAAAATATCATTCATATGACAAGAGCACCATAGGCGGTAGATTTGTATTTTTTCCTCATTTAGCCTTCGTGTCACAGCGTCACTCTGTTCTTCTCATTATATATTCCTCTTTGTTGAGTTTGCTTGTCGCTCAGGTTCAGTCGTCTAATTTAGGAGTGTGTTTTTTTTCACCTCAAGTTTGCTTCCGTTTGTGTCAAGATGTGTTTATAGGCTCCCCGGGGTTGTTTATCTCACCTGCTCCACCTGTAATTTGTTTCCCCTCATTTCTGTTTTATCTATTTCTTTTTTTTTTTGTAATGTGTGTACATGGATAAAGCTTGAAAGGCAAACCTGGACCAGCGGGTTTGGGGCGGTGAAGACCAAATGCTGTTTTTATCCAGTTTTAAATCACATTTTCATTTTCACGTGTCAATCTCAGTCCTTATCGCGTTCAAAGAAAAGCATCCTCAGACGGACTCGGACAGGAGTTTGAACTTGGAATCTTTCTGAAGGAGACTTGATGTAGTTTATTTGGGGGGAGATGCACACACAAGGATGGGGAAAGTAAATTTACAGAGATGTATTCATCAAAGATTCTCTCCTGATGTTGGACAAGTAAAACACCTAACATCGTGCTGGCGAGTAATGAGAAAAGTATTCCTACTGTACCATCTGCAGAGGGGATATTTTTAGGCGCTCGCGAGCTCGGGTGACGTCTTTAAAAGCATCTGGATGCCAATTAACAAGTGTGAGTTCGGTATCGCTCCACAAGTGACATTTTCTCAGATGGAAATGACAGGAGTCTACTTTCATAGCATGAAATGAAACCGAGCATTTCATGGCTGTCAAATATGTTAAGAGTTGAACCGGCAGCTTTTGTCCTCACATTACCTGTAGCTATTCATGCTGTGGAAAAAAAAAAAAAAAGCTTTGCCCACTGAATCGTGATCCACTGATCTACAAGCAAAACTTATTTTCACTCAAGAGGAGTTAAAGGATTAAACAAGAAAAAAAGTTTTTTCCAGTCGATACAAGGCCCAAAGCAGTTTTGTTTTGGGATGCGGTGGTTGCAGCCAGTATATATACTCATATAAACTAATGTTTCTTATTGAGTATTCCCTTTAATCTGTTTATTTTTTTCATTTTTCCATGAACTGCTGTATAATTTTGTCTTTGAATGCTGCTGTGCTGTGCAGCGAGTGACAAGGGCTTGCAGAAAGGCGTTTCATTTGTTGTGTATTGTCCTCGAACGCTCAGCATACGTACGGGTTGTGAAACTCTCCCTTACATAATCTGAAGTAGTGTGGCGCTTTGCCTCATGTTCTGAATGTCTGGCCCGGTGATCGTGTTCTGCCGACATTAAAAAGCCATTCAACAATAAAAGTGCCCGTGCAGCTGGCAGATACTGAGATGCGTACATTTCATCTTAATAATGTTGTATCACGATGTTGTCATCAGCGGAGCGTTGCATAAATATGTAGTCTTCCATACATCGGCCTTCGTAACGCACAGCTGTTTTCGCAGGTGTCTGTTTTGGCCCACTCGCGATAATTAAAATGCTCGTTCAGTTAATTTCTTTTGGCACCATGAAAAAGTTCCTTCGCCACCGTGAGATGAGCTTAATTCATTTTGTCAAACCGCAGGAAATGAATCTTTGGGGGGTACTGCCAAGATCTGAAATTTAGAAAGTAAGTGACAAGACCCCATTAGCATTAATAAATTCATCTGTCATCACTCCAAGGACCGGTAGGACTCTTATAAGATCACCTTTGCTGATTGTGTCGACGTAATTGGCATTAATGGAGCAACCCACAGATGAGGATCAGCTGCAGGACCTGGTGCAGAAAATCATTCAGTATCAGGGAGAAGGTATTTGGGAAATTTTTGCTTGTGATGGCATTGAGAGCTTTCAAAATGGATGAATACGTGAGTAAAAAATGTGATTGTTAGATTAAAGTAAGGGGGTAGATGATGTATATGTGGCGCTAAAACCAAGATGGCGTCAATTTAAGGCTGTCTAGCAGAAAAGAAGACAGACGAGTGCAAAATAATTGCGTAGCTTTGTCTAAAAGTTGAGAAATTTAGGCATTCAGAAGTCACTCCTACTGAATACTCCATGCAGCAAAGAACAAAGTCGTGTTGAGTTTGTATGTGAAACTGAGTTATTTTATTTCAAGTATCCAGTTTGTGGGTTCAAAGATGGCCGTGGTTAAAACCTCTGGGTTTTCCCGTTTCCTGCCTTCCTGCCTTTGCTGTTGTGTTGTTGATTTTTCTTCCACCTGCTGTGTGTTTTAAGCTTCCCTGTGGCTCGGTAGCTCACAATGGACCCGTCCAGCCTGTGTCAGGTTGTCCCAGACATCTCTCAGTTGTTGTTGTTGAAAACAACCAACCAGCAGGATGTTGACGCTGATTTTTGTTTCAGTCTTTTAAGAGCTCATAGTTACATCAGAATGCCATTTAAAAAAAAAAAAAAAAGGATTCAGCTAACCCACTTTTTCTTTTTTTACTTCAACAACTGTGTCATGTTTGGTGCATCCAGCATTAAACGAGATCGCAAACTTCATAATCTTACATTGCATAAAGGGAGCACAGACAAAGCTGTCAGCATTTACCAAATGAGGAGAATCTAAGATTAACCCCATTTGGAGTAAACGGAGAAGGAGGAATGTGAGAGCAGATAAACATATATGACTGAATCTGCCTTTTAATCTTGATGCATATCTTTACATATATTTTAAAGCGATTTCGTGGCAAGATGTAGTTGCGATAACCTCATCAACAGATGGTGGTTGAGAACCTGGAACATGATATTTTTTAGGAGATAGAAATTTGTGGTTTAGTTTTAACAATATAAATGACAGATTTCACTATTTTGTGATCTCGATTTTGAGAGAATCATGCATGACGGTGATTTTATCGGCTTCATGACTATGTAACAGTAGCATGGACAGAACGCAACAGGACATTTAGTCACTGACAAAATTACAAACAAGCACTTAAGCAGTTATTTTGGTAATGAGATTACCAATGCATTAACACTGCTCCTGCTCTCCGCAGCGTTAGATTCAACTGATATGTTGCTTTTAATTAAAGTGCTAAGTGACCTGTTTCTCTCCTCTGGGTCGGAATCCGGTACACTACCCCCAGCTAATCTCCACTTCGGTATCTCCATCTGCTAATCCCGGCGCAGCGATCCTCACCATATACTGCGCTTTAGCTTAAAAACAAGATACCGCACCATCCCTGTTTCAGCCACGCTCCGCCCCGTCCCATAGGGAATCCCTGGTATAGGAGGAGCGGAGGAGCGTTCTCATCTCCCCGGTGCTGTTGCCAGGCAGTTTACATCCAGTTGTATTACTCAGCTCTCTTGTTCGAAAGCCTCTTAAGTGCTATCTCCTTAAGCTGGTGTTGACCATAAAGAAGGTGGAAGCGCTGCGGTGCCGTTGTAGGATTCTGCACTGGGTGGGGTGCCTCTTACATGGACCTAATTGAGTTATGGGATGTGGGATGGTGTCGCTGTCGTACGCTTGCCAGTGCACAGGCTTGTTAAACACCTGCTGGCAACCTAATCTTGTTAATAAGCAATGGAAGAGATAATATTGTTGCAAAGAGTCCACACGCAGAATGTGGAAGCAATTATTAAGCGAACGGAACACGTGTCGGATGTAAATGAGATAAAAGAATTAGGAATGTAAAAGTTTAACAATGAGGCTGCACAGCGTCGCTCTGAGCTAAACGCGCTGACGGGCTTACAGTGGTTTACCGTGGTTACCATATTAGTTTGGCTTGTTAGAATACTAGCATTTGTTAATTAGCAGTAAACACAAAGAACAGCTGAGGCGGAGAGGAATGTTGCTGGCTTGGCATGTTTTACCGAACAAATTAAAACTTTCCCCCAAAGGTATTATACTTCATCCTGTGGAGAACATGAATATTTGTACCAAATTTAATGGCAATTCATGTAAGGGTTCTTGAAACAATTCATCCAAACCTCCTGGGTATGCTAAAAGGGCATCACCAAAATCTTCAGAAAGTCTGTAACAAATTGGATGAATTTTCAGAGATGTTTTATGAAAAAAGTATACATGTCGACCTCCTGGAAAACTCAAGAGACCACTGAAGTTCCTCTGTAGTACCTCATTGTAAGTCATCAACTAGCCGTATGTGCCATCTCGAACAAAGTAGCAAACCGATCTGCCATCCCTAGATGAAAATGTGATGACTGTACTTACCACGTCTTCATGCACAGTAAAGGGTTTAAAGGGTTTTAACAGGGAGGTGCTTTTAAGTAAAAGCTGCCAGAATTAATGCTTTATCTTCCAAGTCAGTGGAGTAAGTGTTAGTGCCATATGGGCGAGCAGATGCCCATTACACCTCTCAGGAGCTCTCCCTCCCTGAAACAAGTGACTGCATGGGCTACATCAAGGTTTCTCAGCCTCTCCTCCAAACTTGTAGTCTTAGAGTTACAGAATGATGCATAAAGTTTTGACATTCTTCTTTCTGTGCCTAATCATCCTGCAAAAGAAAATCTTAGGCCTGCTAAAAACTTTTTTTTTTTTCATGTTTGCCCTAAATTCACAATGTTGAAGACGTTGCATTAAAAATTAAGGGATGCATCCTTTTTTTTTTCTTTTTTTTTTTTGCTTTCTTTGAGGCATGGCACGTACTAATATCTCATAGTGTTTAATGATGTTCGGAGAAGCTAATGATCAAGTCCTTATGGGCCTGTTGGATAGATGAAAGCCCTCAATGGAATTTGATCTGTTTCCAAGTAGTTCAGAGCAGTGTTTTGTGCATGCATTGTAATGAGCTGAACTTGCATTTTCTCCAAAACTGTTGATGCTGCACATAACCCACATTCTCACAAGGATAGCGGAGGAGCAGTTGTTGTTCTTAGTCAATCTGCTGTCTTATATAATTGCTGCATTTACAAGAAACATGAAAGATTATGCGATAACTCGGTAATTGTTACATACAAAGACTTAAGCTGAGGCAACGTCTATGCTGTCTGTGAGGCTGTACTGTACGGTTTGACCTAAATGCTTATGTCAGCATGCAAACACGCTCACAGTGACAACAATAATGTATTGATGTTTAGTAGGTATGCTATCCCCATAGTTTAGCACATTTGTTTGCAGCTGAGGCTGGTGGTTTTTGCTGCTATATGGTTATAAACATACGTATGGACAAATGAAAATTCCGACCTGGTTTTTTTCACTATGAAAAGACAGGAAATCACAAACATTATGGCAATTCATCTGGGAGGAAACATGAATTTTTGTACCAGATTTAATCTAGTAGTTGCTGAGAAAACTTAAGGAAAGCTGAGAGCTGAAGTTGGTACAATTACTCACATCTGTTAAACAGAATCAGTTGTTACTGTATGTCTGGATAATGACATATGTGTTTTGTCTTTCTTTTCCAGATTACCCTGCGACTCTAAGATCCTGCTGTAAAATTCTACCCTTGGCTTCACCTCCTGACCATCTTAATTTCATTGACTGAAAGACGTAATCAGCTGAAAGTCTGGTTGATGACTGTAACGCACCTTCTTCCAAAGTCATCTGACCCTCCTCCTGTCTCTCCCCAGCATGGCTAGACGGAGGTTAGACTGCTGTCTTCTGGGCCAGATGTTTGCTGGCCTAATCCTGCTATCAATAGCGCTATCTTTTGTCCAGAGCAATGAGTGCCCCCAGCTGTGTGTGTGCGAGATCCGGCCCTGGTTTACCCCCCAGTCCACCTACAGAGAAGCCATCACTGTGGACTGCAATGACCTTCGCTTAACACGCATCCCGGGGAACCTCTCCAGTGACACTCAGGTTCTCCTCCTACAGAGCAACTATATTGCCAGAACCAGCGAGGAGTTGGAGCAGCTCTTCAATCTCACTGAGCTGGACTTGTCGCAGAACAACTTCAGTAGCATTCGAGATGTTGGCCTTATCAATATGTCCCAGCTCACCACGCTTCATCTGGAGGAGAACCAGATCACAGAAATGCCAGATTACTGTCTGCAGGACCTCAGCAACCTGCAGGAACTCTACATCAACCACAATCAGATCAACACCATCTCCGCCAATGCCTTTTCTGGGCTTCACAATCTGCTCAGACTTCACCTCAATTCAAACAAGCTCAAGACCATCAACAGCCAGTGGTTCGAATCGACACCCAATCTGGAGATCCTCATGATTGGGGAGAACCCTGTTGTTGGAATTATGGACTTTAATTTCAAGCCACTGGGCAACCTGAGGAGCCTGGTTTTGGCTGGGATGGATTTGACAGACATCCCTGGAAATGCCTTAGTGGGACTTGACAATCTTGAGAGCCTCTCGTTCTATGACAATAAGCTGGTCCGAGTTCCTCAGAGAGCCCTCCAGAAACTACCGAACCTCAAGTTCTTGGATTTGAACAAAAACCCAGTGCACAAGATTCAGGAAGGAGATTTCAAGAACATGCTGAGACTGAAGGAGCTGGGTATAAACAACATGGGAGAGCTGGTTTCTATTGACCGCTATGCTTTGGACAACCTTCCTGAGCTCACTAAACTGGAGGCGACAAACAACCCCAAGTTCTCTTACATCAACCGTCAGGCCTTTCGTGACGTTCCAGCTTTGGAGAGTCTGATGCTGAACAACAATGCCCTGAATGCCCTCTATCAGTCCACGGTGGACTCGCTCCCCAACTTGCGCGAGATCAGCATCCATAGCAACCCCCTCCGCTGTGACTGCGTCATCCAGTGGATGAGCTCCAACAAAACCACAGTTCGCTTTATGGAACCACTAGCAATGTTTTGCGCCATGCCAACAGAGGTCAGGGGTTTGCATGTGCGGGAGGTGTTGCAGAACAACTTGGCAAACCAGTGCTTGCCCATGATTTCCCATGATACCTTCCCCAACCACCTCAATTTAGACATTGGGATGACCGTGGACTTGGACTGCAGAGCGATGTCCCAGCCTGAACCTGAAATCTACTGGGTCACGCCAATGGGGAACAAGGTAATGATTGACACCCTGTCTGACAAGTACAGCCTCAACAGTGAAGGGACATTGAGAATTTCTCATATCCAGGTGGAAGACTCTGGCAGATACACCTGTGTGGCCCAAAACTCGGAGGGAGCTGACACAAGAGTAACAGCCATCCGGGTGAACGGCACTCTGTTAGACAGCACACAGCTCATGAAGATCTACGTCAAACAGACAGAATCTCACTCAATACTTGTCTCCTGGAAAATAAATTCAAATGTAATGACGTCTAACCTCAAGTGGTCGTCCGCAACCATGAAAATAGACAACCCACATATTACTTACACTGCCAGGGTACCGGTGGATGTCCACGAGTACAACCTTACACATTTACAACCAGCAACTGAGTACGAGGTGTGCCTGACCGTCTCCAACATCCACCAACAAACGCAAAAGTCATGCGTGAACGTGACGACGAAGCAAGCGGCCTTCGCTGTGGAAATATCCGATCAAGGGACCAACACTGCTCTTGCAGCAGTCATGGGAACAATGTTTGCAATCATCAGCCTGGCCTCACTGGGTGTGTACATCGCCAAGAGGTGGAAGCGGAAAAACTATCACCATTCCCTAAAAAAGTATATGCAGAAAACCTCGTCAATACCACTAAATGAGTTGTACCCGCCTCTTATCAACTTGTGGGAGACAGACAGTGAGAAGGAGAAGGAGGGCTCCTCCGAGACCAAGCCCAGCCAGGTGGACACCACACGCAGCTATTACATGTGGTGAGAGCTGCTTTCCGGTGGAAGATGCAGAGACATGTTTGTTTCAGGAGCACAAATATACATACTTGCTTCTTTGTGTAAGAGTGACACTAAGCTTTTTTTTTTCTTTTCATATTTCCTTTTTGTTTTATTCGGTTCTCTCAGACTGAAGCGAACAATGAACCGACATTTTCAGATCTCTAGTTTAGCTTACTGCCTTTTTACCTCTCGCCCATTTTGACAAACGATTATGGCAGCTTTGTTTAGCTTCCTGGACTTTAGTAGTCACTGTGCTTTACTTTTAGTACTCGTTTTGATGAACACAGCATGAGCATTGTCACGGATTCAGTGTGCGCCAGCGAAGGAAAAGCTGAAATCTGATCCGTTTTCGACATGTTTCTCTGGCAGAACTATTAGTGACTGCGATCTTTCTTTCTCTTGTAAAACAGTTTCACTGTTGACTGTTGTGCACTGAAATATATATACTAATTTGTCTATCAACTCAAATGTAAGCTGACAAAGTACGTTTAGACTTGATATACTGTCTATTGAATAATGTTAGAAATTCTTCTGTAATGTTGTATCAGCTATGATTTCATTTACTTTTTGTACATTAAAATAACAATACGTTTAATTTAGACTTTACGTTTGCAGAGCAACTACTGTAAACCAGCAATAGGAATATGAATGTTACAAACTAGGTAAATAGATGTAAGGCTTTTTAAATTTCTTAAATATTTTGTTTCTTATTTTGCTAGAATATGTCTACAATCACTGGTTTTGTTGTGATTTACACACACAAACATGTTGTTTATTGAGGAGCAAGTTAAATAAAATCTTCTTTCCTCGTATTTTTTAAACCATGATTTCGATGCTAAGCGTCATTTTTACGTACAGTATGCACAGTCAGTGTGTATTTAATGTAAGTGGAGACGCAGACATTAACACGTTAAAAGCAAATGTTTAAAAGCTGAAAGTGTTGTTTGAGGGAAAACTCATCATCTCATATTAATCTCTTACATTAGGATTCTATTAATATCAGGGGGGATGAGCATAGCTTTAGGTGTTAGGTTGCAGCCAAAGTGTTGATAGAAAGAACGTGGAAGATGCAGACTGCAGTGTGTTTCTCTCTGCAAAGCAATTATCAGGGAATAATTTAAATTCTAGTCCCGGTAGAATATAATTACTGCACAATATGCCTGGGAGTACATACGGTAACTTCAAAAACAAAGAAATTACTCAGTCAAAACCAAGACATTAGATGTAGCGCCTGCAATTTTTTGTTCACCCTCTGTTTTATTACACCGAGCTTACTTCTGCGTCCCCAAATCCGTAGGAAGGGAAACAACAGGAGAAGTATAATGCAGCTGAGACAAGATCAAGGTAGATGGATTATGAACAATTAAAGCAAGTACAGACTGCAGCATTATCTGGCAACAAACAGCCCTGCCATACTCATCATGTCTCATATTATCAGTATCTTTTACTGTACGTGATATGGGGCATACAGCATGTCTCAGATTGCGAATGAATCACTGCTGCGCTGCACAGATTTCCTCTTACTGTAACATTATTAATAGCTTTTCTTCATCTCCGTCAGTAAAACAACATGAAACGACCATCTGCTCTTTCTGCAAAAAAACCAAGTGAGACAGTCACGCGTTGGTTTACTTGCAACGCAGTTCTATGCAGGGGTCCGTAACAATGCAAATCCGAATAGCAGTGGCTCACTGTCTAGAAGAAGTGGATCTCCAGTGGGAGCCCAGAAGCTCTGTTTGTTTCTGATGTTGACTGACAGCTCTGGGGCTTGTGGTGCAATCAAACGATCTCCGTTTAGTCTCCCCTGGCAACATGCTCGTTCTCCTGCATGCTCTCTCCGCCCCTCTTCTCCTCAATTATTGCTGGAATGGAGACAAATATTCTTCGTCGTGGGGAGAAAAACAACCGGACAGTTCATCCGCCATTTGTAACTTTGCGTCCACATCGTCGCTGGCTGTTATTAGGGAGTTTATAGCTTTGCATTAATACCAATATGTGTGGGCTTCATGTGAGTTTTAAACAAGGCGGAACGGAAATCGCTCCGTGATAAGTTATTTAGTTCCAGATGAAACACGCAGCATTTGTAATACTTACATAGATACGCAACGGTTTTCTTTTATAACACACTGCAGTGTGGTTATGTGTTTACTGGTGCATTTGTCAACAACTATAACTCCCATGATGCATCTGTTACTAGTACACACTCAGTTGTGGGCTCAGATTTCATCAGAAAATAAAATACATGTATTTATTATATTGTTATAATCGGAATATATTTATTTATTTGAATCCTCTTATCTTAAAAAACCCTCTTATTATAACCAAAATAAACTGCTGATGAGGACTATATATCGTTGAGAGCAGTGGGAACATCCAATAAGTGGATGATTAGGGACGTTTTTGTCACATACAAAAATTCATAAACCAGAATTTAGAATTGCTGAGAAATTATGAATATTTTAAAAAATGTGAATACCAGCTTAAAGCAGTCTGTTATAAAGAGTTTATTAATGCTTATAAACTAAATATAAATGTTAAATAATGGTTGTTATGATACAATATGACATGATACAGTACAAATCTGGTGTTAGTTTGTACTAAAATGCATTCCTTATGAAGTTCCTTTAATGAGTTGGGCACTTTCCTCACCCAGACATACCACAAAAAAACAGTAAAATCACACATTTTATACCTCAAATAAGGTTCCTTGACTTCAGAGTTACACAACTGCCAGTAACTGAACTGGCTTTCCGTGCATCTAGAATGATAAAATGGATTAAAAGCTTACACATAGTCTATAACTAGCTACTACTGCCGTTCTGTATAGAGATGTCAGGAGATGCTGCAAGAAAAAAAAAAAAAAAAACAGTCTGAGAATGTCACAAGAGGAGGACAGAGCAGCAGCAGTCTGGCATTTGTTAAACCTGTACATTGAAACCGTTACTTTGAAACATCCGCCGCCGTCCTTTTATCTGCAGGAAACTGGCGAGCCTTTATACCGACTCAGCGGGTAGCCTAGTAACAGACCGGAAATCAGCTCATTGGGACAGCTATCAATGAGAGCTTTTCAAAGCGTGTGCTGGAGCCTGCACCGTGTCCCATCCCAGTGGCCTGTTTCCATGACAACCCCTCCCTCCATCCACCTGCGGTCTCTGGCAGCCAAGTGAGAGAAGTCCCCAGAGCCTGAAATACCACTGACAAGGTCAACACCCCGCAGGTGGGAAACCACTGAAACACCATGTACGCTTTCAAAGGTGTGGAGCGAGAAAAGCTCCATCTTTGCACCAAAGGTGAAGTCAGAATGGCACAAAGCGTCATTGTCTTGGCTCCTTTTTTTTTTTTCTTTATTCTTTTCTTCTGTCATGTTTCAGGTGAACCATGTAAAACTGTAGCTGAAGACAGGATGAATATTGTACAAGAACAAAAAAAAAAGTCACTGTGCAAATATTTACACGGTTATTGTTTCAAGTGGAGCCACGGGTTCATCCGAGCCTACAGTGGAATTATTTATATCTGCATTATCTCAGCCCACAGAAATTTTTATAAACGCTGCAGTAAACAGAGGTCAGCTTTGAATCGTGACTAAAAACCTACATCAAGTTTCGTCGTATTAAGTTTCTAAGCTGGCAGTGTGTTTGGATTCAGGTGATTGTCTCCCTGACTTTAGCTTTCTTTGTCCCCCATAATTACCATTTAAACCCTATCAAGTGTTCTATCTTTGAAGCAGTTTATAGTGTAAGCAGTAATAATTTAACCACTATAAAATCATGTGAAAAAAATGGGTGTTGATATTTAGGACAGATGCAGGCAAGGGACGACTCTCAAAACAGTAGCATAAGAATCTTGTAAAAGTGGTCTTAAATATGCACAGTGACGATACAGTTTATACTGGAAGTTATGTTTTACTGGGAGGTTAGGGTTATTCTGTTGTGTTGCAGGCTGTGATTTGTTTTGTTTTTTGTCTTTTCGTGCAGTTTTTCCTTTTATATTAGTTGTTTTTTTTTTTTTTTTTTTTTTTTTCCAATATATTGCTTACCAATGTGGTACTGATGCACACAGTATGATGCAGACATACAGACTGATTAATCAGTGCCTTACACTTTTGTGTTTTTGGAAAATAAAATAAAAATAAGAAGCCACCTTTGAAACCCTAAACTGAAGCCACAACACTTCAATGAGTAGAGAAATCCAAAGTGTATATAGGCCTGTTGTTCCTGGTTACAGTTGCTAGGCTATGATTTTATAGTTGTTATATAAACAAGTACAAATATAACTGAGAGGTTGGCGATGGAAGCGATGAAAACGCTCTCTGATCAGCTCTTTGTTAACGCTCAGCTGAGTGCAAGTCAGCACCTGCAAAGTAAAAAGTTAAAATCAGTTGCTGTGTTTCTATCATCTACATATTCATCTCAGCTGTTGGTGCTGATGGTTATAAAGTCTGATTCCTGTCTCTAAATAGTCAAGTGGGCATTATTTATTAATGGATTTGCTAATAAAGCAGTAAAACAGAAATAGCCACTCAACATGGTCGTCACACACAGAATGAATATGAAATCTGTGTTAATTTCCTAACATCCTGTCCTGATTACCTTAATGACACGTATCACCAGGTTCTCCCCACACGAGGTCACTTTTGACAGCAAAGCTGATGACATTTCCTTCATCTTTCTCGTTGACAAGCCTTTTTTTTCCTCTCAGGTGCTGTCACCCTCAGGTCAGGGGCAGGGTGAGGACGAAGTGATGATGTGACAGCACTCTTTTTTTATTTCCTTGACTGTGGTGAGCCTTCATATAGGAAGTTGGTGGCTGTGGATGCATTTTGCTTTTATGACTTGGTTTTTGCAGACTGTATTTACGGTCGTGACTTGATAATCCAACCCTTAACAATCCAAAAACCTTGCTATCCGACAGGTTTTTAGGAAAAATTAACGGAACCCACGAAAAACAGCCTTAACATACTGACAGTCTTGGATTCTGACTCCAACATGACATTTTATGTCACAAATCAGGATAACGGCGTATTATCTGACTGAACAATCTGACAGATTGGCTACGTTCGAACTGCAGGACTTAATGCTCAATTAGGATTTTTTTATGAAATCAGATTTTTTTTGCGAGTTCGTTTACATTTCCAATTAAATGCGACTTGTATGTGATCCCCTGTGTGAACTTCATACAATCCAAAAGTGTCCTGCATGCACAGAAGAGGACACAACGACGTCACACACAGCGAGCGTGCTCAGTGTTTGCGAAAGTAAACACGGATGGTAACGGTGGAGCGTATCTGCCATCCCCCACCACCGATGATGGAAACAGAACTGTGACCGCTAACTAAACTGGCATCAGCAGCCAAGTACTGCCTGTGCGTTCCGGCCACTTCCAACCCTGGGATGCGCTCCGATGGGTACCGCATCAACCGCACCGAATGTTCGGATATTCATCATTAATTGGGTCTGAATATCCAGAGACCAGTAAGTGCAATTCGGACCAGCCCTACTAGTTATTATAACAACTATGAACAATAAATATTAGCATCAAGCCCTCCTTGTATCTCGACCTCCGTCTTAACAATCCCACAGCCTTGCTATCCGACATAAAAGAAGGTTTTACATTTAGTGTCTGATTATCGAGTCACGACTGTATAATCCAAAATTACCTGTCTTAACATTCTGTCCACATTGTTTCAGACTAAATAAATTTAACCCAAAGTTTCCTACTGAAGTCCACAGTAACAAGAAATTTCACTGCAGCTTAAAACATTGTGTATAAACTTCTTGAGCAGCACTTCTCCTCCGTTGCTCTAATAGTCGCAGTTTCACCACTTAAG